GCTGCTTAAACAGCCCGGTAAATCGCCCTTATCCCCAACCCCTTCGAGCCCCGCTGCGGGACGGGCTGGGCTCCAGGCTGCAGCAGCCGGGCAGTACCAAAGTCCTTTCTCCATCCAACTTCGCAAGAGCCCCCCCTAACCCCGCTCTGCCTCCGGCGCTGCGGAGCCGCTTCGAGCTGATCCCTTAGAAAAAAAACTTGCAGCGCGGTGCTGTGCTCGGGGGCGCCGGTGACAAGGACAAACCTCCCCGAAGCGGCACCGCGGGGACCCCCAGGTCCGAGCATCCCCCCGCTGCAGGGCAGGAGGATGCCCTGTGCCCCCCGCCGGGGGGAAAAGCACGGGGGAAGCTCTGGGCATCCCCACGCCGGCTCAGCTCCCGTCTCACTTTCCGCCCGCGGGGAGGTGAAACGCGATCCTGAGATGAAAAGCGCAGTACGGCAGCGCCCCGGGGACACCGCAGCGCCCGGGGCACCGCCGGCCCCGCACCCCCGGGGGACACCGCCGGCCCCACGCGCTCCCCGCATCCCACCTGGCTCCGTGCGTAGCGGCAGCCCCGCGGCGGGGGCCCCTCTGTGCGGCGGGGGGAACGGGGAGTCCCCTTGCCCGGGGTCCCGGTGCGGGGCTGAGCTGCGGCTCCTCCGGGGCAGCGCGGGCAGCGGGCGGCAGCAGGTTGGCAGGACGGCTGGGAAAGAGCTGCACCAGGCATAAGTGCAGGCACCGAGAAAAGAGGCTTCTGTGTGTGTGTGTGTCCGTGTCCTCCACTCTTCTTTTTTTTTTTTCCTTCCCCTTTCCCTCCTCCTTTTATATTTATTCCTTCCCCTAATTAAGAAGGGAAAAAAAAAAAAAAAAGATATTACCGTGTTGGCAGGCGCCTCGTCCCTCCCCGTCCCTCCCTCCTGGCAGCTGGCAAACCCCGCACGAGAGGAGGATGCTCAGCCCGGGCACGGCGTTAACCCAATGCAGCAGAAGTGGGCGAGCAGCCGGCACTGGGTCCCCCGGACCCTGCTGGAGATGGGGGGTCCCCCTGCCGCAGACCCCACCATGGCACGGGAATGTCCTTGGGATGGTTATTTCTAATATTTGGCAGCTTCAGCAGGACGGAGAGTGGACCACAGACGGGGGTCCCAGTACCCAGCGGAGGCTTTATTATGCAAAAGCCCCTTTGCTGCGAGGCCACAGTGGGTGGAGGCACCATCCGGGGGCCGGAGGGACCCTTCACCAGCCCCAAAATATGTTGGGAGCAGCCAGATCCCAGCTCCTGGCACAGCACTCACAGCCAAGCTTGGTCCAGCAGAGACACAAGCCGTGCCTCAGTTTACCCGCCTGCGTCCGTGTCAGGGTTAATTTACACCAGGATAATTTATGCATCTTTAGGCTTGAATGCTTGTTCCTGGAGGGATGTGTGGGGACCTGGGCACCCAGTGGGGTCCTGGGGCAGCTGGAGCCCCTCATCTGCAGACCCAAGCCCCTTGGCAGAAGGGCAGCTCTGGCATTGGGGCTTTTTTTAGCCAGATCTTCCTCAAACTTTCCCTGGCACGGAGCACCCCCTGCCCGGGGGGGGGCTGGCGCGGAGCCTGCCAGGGAATTGCTCGGGTGAATTTGCAGAAAGCCGCAGCTCCTGAGCAGAATTAATCACTCGTCGCCCTGGGAAATAATTGCAGGCGGCAGAGACGGTCTCGTTAGCGGAGCAGTTGGGTGGGGGATGCGGGTCCTGCGGGTGATGCTCCTCCGGCGGGGACACACACACACCGCAGGGCTCTGCCCTCCAGGCAGCTGCATCGCAGAGCCAGGGCTGCGATGGGCACCGGGACGGGCAGGAGGGAAACCCACAGGCTGGCCCAGCCTCTGCCCCCCAAAAACCCCACCCATGAGGTCACATCCTGCACCAGGAGCTTTTGTGGGAAAGGGCTGGAGGCCGGGGGAACCGCGGAGTGCCTGCTCAGCAAGGATCGTCCCCCATCCTAATTGGGAACAAATGTTCCCGGCGTGGCTGGGGTTTCCTTGCTGGCTCAGAGCAAATCTTCCAGGGCTGCTGCTCTGCCAGCTCCTTCCCTCCTGGTCCCTCCTGGCCATTGGAATCTATGGAGCAAAGCCCTTGGGACATCCAGATCCTGGAACAGACAGGGGAGAAGGGAGAGGAGCGAGACAGCAGCAGGGATTGTCTAACCCTTGCTAGACACCAGAGAATACCCATCCCTGCCTGCAGCTCCAGAGGTGCAGGGGGCCTCCCAGCCCTTCCCATGGCCCCAGGCCAAGCTCCAGCAGCCAAGGGCATGGAAAGGGGTCCCAGCCTCATGGGGACCCCCACAACTGCAACCCCCCCCCCCGCAGTCCCAGCTGTGTCCAGTCTGGAAGGGCCTCAATGCCCAGCTGTGCTTCGTCCTCCTCCTTCTCCTCCTCCTCCAGCCCTGCTTGAAGTCACGTACCAGCTGCTGCCCCGCACCCTGTGCCAGGCTCGACAGCCCCCACCAGCCCCCACCCTGAGGCAGCAGGGCTGGGGCACCCTCAAACCTGCTGCCCCCCCAAACCTCTGCTGCTGCTGAATGGCCACCCCTGAGCACCCCATGGGGACAGGGGGACACAGGGACAGACATCCCCCTTCCAGAGGGTCCTGATCCCGAGCACCCCCCAGGGACACAGACACCCCCATTCCAGGGGATCCTGACACCCAGAATTCCCCAGAGACGTGGATATCTCCCTCCAGGGAGGCTCCTGACTCTGAGTGTCCCCCAGGGACACAGACACCTCCATCCCAGGGGGTCCTGACCCCCAGCGTTCCCCAGGGACACAGACACCTCCATCCCAGGGGATCCTGACCCCCAGTGTCCCCCAGGGACACAGACACCTCCATCCCAGGGAGTTCTGACCCCCAGCATTCCCCAGGGACACAGATGACCCCATCCCAAGTCACTCCCAAACCTGATCACTCAGCAGAAGGAAGGGATACACAAACATTCCCACCTCAGGGTGCCCCCCCAGCTCTCCCCAAGGCTGGGAGGTGCCAGGACCCCTCAACACCCCTGGAAACCCCGAGTCCTCCTTGGGCTGCAGGATTTGGTCTGTCCCACTGAGCCCCAGTGCTGGCTGAGGGAGAGGGGCCTGGGCACAGTGGGGAACCCCAAAGCAAAGGCATGAGGAGGAAGAGGGGAGCAAGGCCAGGGAGGAGGGAAATGCTCCCTCCCAGGGCGCGTCCTGGTGTAGCCACAGGCACTGGGGGCTGTCTTGTGGCAGACACCAATACTGGGGGCACCCAGACACCCCAGGGGCACCTGGACACCCTGCAGGCTTCTGGACACCCCAGGAGGAGGAGAGTGGGAGCAGCCAAGCAGTGGGGATGGCCAGCTCTGGAGCAGATGTGCTGTGGAAATGAAGAGGGGGAGGATGAAGACACACAGCAAGGCTTCATCCCCCCACTGCCCGGGGCTCCGGGGACCCCGGATGAATTATCCGACCTCAGAGCTCCCTGTGCTCCTTAATGGCATTTCAATCCTGGCTGTGAGAGGCAAACCAGAGCCGGGGCCAGGGAGCCAGACAGGATGTCTGGCCGGAGATGAGCCGGAAAGGCAATGCCTTTGGGGACCCCCGAGCCGGGTCATCCCCCCTTCCCCACCGTCCAGGCACCAGGGGATAACCGGGTTCTGGGACCCCGTTACTGCTGCTCCCAGATACGGGCGGTGTCGGGGGCCCCCCACCAGCTCCCGGCTGGTGAGAGGCTGGAAGGAGCTCGGGGACGGCTCTGGGTAGCTCTGGGCGTCCTTTGCCAGCAGAGGGGACTGTTGCTTGTCTCTCCAGAAACTCTCGTTTGGAGCCTCTCCCGTGGGACAGCTCGGGAGGGGACATTCTTGTCCTCCTTGCCATGGTGAGGACAGAGCACGGACCCTCCTGTGGGAAAAAAACACCGTCTCTCGGGAGAGGGAGGACCGGGAGAAAGCTGGCAACAAGTCTCCCCCCAAGTGATGTTTTCCTGCCTCTTTTGTTCACAGAAACCTCTCAAGTCTGAATTTTTAAATCTCCGCCTCTCTACCAGCGCGCTGCCCTTCCCCCAGACAAATCAGCTGGGGAAAATAAGAAAGGAAAATCAAAACTCCTAATCCCCAAACGCTCCCCGTGCAGCGATTCTTATCCCGACCGTGACGGCTTGACCGCGCGGGGGGAAGCTGTGAAGGAAATCAAACGCTGAGCCGGCGCTTGCCAAGTTTCAGAGGCTGCCGGAGCAGCTCCCGTTGGGCTCCCGGCTGTGCTCGGCACATCCCACCACGAACATCTGGAAGGAAGGAGGGTTGCAGCTGGACGCAGCTGGATGCAGCACCACAAGGAGGGGGGGGTTGGCCAGGACGATGCTCTGTGTCCCCCCACTGTCCTCCAAGGCAGTTCTCCCTCTCTCCTCTCTGACAGACCCAGGGCACTGGATCTGCCGTGGTTTGTGCTGAGCCCAAAACAGCCCCGGGTCCCGAGTGGCACCGGTGTTCTCTGTGCAGCCATCACCTCTCCAGGACTGTGAGACCCTCGGTGGGCTCCTCCTGGGCTCCCTTGCACCCGGGTTTCAGAGCACGGGGCCGGCCAGACACTGTGGAGGGAGGGATGCTGCAGCCAAGCCCTCCGGGATGGGCATCTGCCAACTGCCCTTGGACATCTCCCAAGCTCCACGCCGAGCCCGACAGCAGCCCTCCAGCTCCCTGGCATGGCACCCAGGCTTTGGGGAGGGCATTACCAGCCCAGCCACGCCGAGGGAGGATCCAACCCCTCAAGTCACCCTCCTAAAGTGTAAAGGAACACCTTGCCCCTCCCCAGGGCTGGGACATCACGGTGCTGGAGCAGAGCTCAGCGTCGAGCCCACGTGGGCTGGAGCCAGCCCGGCTGTGCAAGAGTTAAACCCGGCTGCTCGCCCGTGTCTCGGGGGCCTCCCACTCGCCCTCGCAGAGTATGAATAGCTGCGCTCCCCTCTGCTCTCAGCCACTCACTTCCCTCCCTGCCCTCCCTCTCCTCCAGAGCCTCGGCATCCTCCCCGACATCCTCCTCCCCGGCGTCTTCCTCTGGCAGTGCCGGCTCCAGAGCCCCGGCACCCCCCGGCAGCGCCGATGCTGAGCACGGAAAGTTTCACAGGGGCGAGAGCCCTGGGAGAGGAATCGCTGCAGATGTGGGACCTCAACAAGCGGCTGGAGGCGTATCTGGCCCGGGTGAAGTTCCTGGAGGAGGAGAACGAGGTGCTGCGAGCTGAAATCCAGAGCGCCAAGGGCAGCCCGGTCGGGGACTCGTGGCGGGTGAAGTACGAGGAGGAGCTGCGAGCCCTGCGGGATGCGCTGGATCACGCCTTCAGGGAGAAGTGCACGGCCGAGCTGGCCAGGGACAACCTCTACGAGGAGGTCCAGCAGGTGAAAAGCAGGTGCCAGAAGGAGCAGGCAGCCCGAGAAGAGGCCAAGAAGCAGCTGTCCTTGAGCAGGAAGGAGCTGGAGGAGGAGAGGAGAGCGCAGATCTGGCTGAAGGAGAGAGCCGTGCAGCTGGAGAAGGAGGTGGAAGCCTTGCTGGAGGTGCACGAGGAGGAGAAAGCGGGGCTGGACCAGGAGATCGCGAGCTACTCCCAGAGCCTGGAGAGCTTCCGCTGTGCACCAGTGGCTTTCCAGCCCGTGGAGGTGGAGGACTATTCCAAGAGGCTCTCAGAGATCTGGAAAGGGGCAGTGGAGACCTACAAGACAGAGGTGTCACAGCTGGAGGGCTCCCTCTGCCAGGCCAAGGAGAACCTGTGGAAAGCAGTGGAGGACAACCATCAGAGCCAGCTGCAGCTGCAGCACCTGGAGAAGGACCTGGCGGGGCTCAAAGCACGGAAGGAGATGCTGGAGGAGAGCCTGGCCCAGCAGTGGCAGGAGCAGCGTGGGGAGGCAGAGAAGTTCCAGGTGAGTGAGGGCGGTGGGGAGGCGCTGGGACCCTGGGGAGGGGGAGAATGGGGGGCTGTGGGTGCCTGGAAGGGGCCTCAGGGATGGGGGAGACAGGTGGGAGAAGGGAAGATGGAGGGAGCAAACCCCAGGGCAGGGGTGGCCCTGGAGGAGCTGCAGAGGGAGATGAAGCTGGGGAGGGTGGGAGATAGAGCAGAGCAGCTTGGGGACATCCCTGTCCCCATCACAGCAGGGATCTGGGCCCCCCACGCTGCAGGGAAGCAGCACCCAGAGACCTCTCCCAACACCTGCCCGAGGCCACTGCTCCACATCCTGCTGGGCTCCAGGGTCAGGATCCCTGGGGAAAGGCAGCCCTTGCCTGTGGCCCCCTGGCACAGGGTGCAGGCAATAGGGTGCAGGCAATGGGGTGCAGGCAACAGGGAGGGGGGTTGTGGGCAGGATAAACTCCGACCGACTTTGCTGCAGCTGCAACTCAACAGCTGCAAAAGTGATTCAGCGGAGGGAGGTGGAGGCAGGGGGGGCTGGGAATGCGGGAGCGCCGTGAACGCTGCCCGGGGAAGGGTCTCTCTTTGTTCCAGGTCCTGGGACCAGCCATGGGTGTCGTGGGGCAGAGGGTGCTGCGGCCTCGGCTGCTCACCTGGAAGTTGTTTCTTTCCCGTGCTGGCACCCCACAGTTCCAAATCCCCCTCGGCCTTTCCTCCCTCCTCCAGCAGCCGTGTCCCCATCGCCTTTCAGCCCTGCTCCTCTCCTCGCCCCATCCTCAGCACCCCCTGCTAAAATCCAGTCCCCAGGACTCCTCTTCCCGCAGCATCCTGAGGGGACGAGCCACCTGCCTGGTCCCAGGTCGGCAGGGACCGGCAGGGCTCAGGTGAATCCGAGGCTCCCCTGACCCCCCTGTGCTGCCCACAGCTGGCGATGGAGGCCCTGGAGCAGGAGCAGCAGAGCCTGCGGGTGCAGATCGCCCGGGTGCTGGAGGACAGGCAGCAGCTCATGCACCTCAAGATGTCCCTCAGCCTGGAAGTGGCGACCTACAGGTGAGGCTTCCGATGGGAGTGGGGCCGGGGAGCTTCCCCAACACGCAGGGAGCTGGGGCCGAACCTCGGTGGGCACAGGAGGGTCTCGGGCACAAGGGAGGTCTCGGCAGGGGCAGCCCTGTGCCCCTTGTGCGGCCCTTCCAGATGGCCCCACACAAAGGCCGCCTGCCAGGGACTGGGGGGACAATTAGCATGAGAATAGGGGCTGTCCCAGCCCAGGCGAGGGGCCTCCCCGGCAGAGCATGATGTCACCCTGCGAGTACACTAATCCCGGGCACGGGGGGATGGGAGGGGAGACAGGAGCGAGGGGGGCTCCTCCAGTGCCCCCGTCCCCTCGCCGAGCCGTGACAGGGCAGCACAACCATCTGTAGCCCCTTCGTGCCTCAGTTTACCTGCTCCCTCACCTGCCGTAGCCCAGCAGGGTGAGCTGGGGGTGCACAGGGAGCACCCACCCCCCCTGCAGCACCCACCCTGTAGCACCCACCACTCTCCTCTCCTCGCAGGACGCTGCTGGAAGCGGAGAGCACCCGCCTGCAAATGCCAGCCGGGGAATTCAGACTGGCCAACGGCGTGCGAGGTAAGGGACCCCCAGCACCAGCCCCCGCACCGCCACTGTGTCACCCCGGGGTGGGGCTCGGGGGCTGAGGCTGGATATGGACACATTTTCCTGCATTTTCCTGGCAGCGGTTTCCTGGCTGCGATAGGAAGGTGTGAACAGCGGCCGGGGGGGCTCCTGGCACGGGGCTCTCAGCCCAGATAAGGCTTATCTGCTTCTTTGCCTCTTTTTTTTAATGCCCGGGCAGGGCAGGGGCAGATCCGCCCAGCTGGACAACGGGCTGCGGTAACAAGCCGAGCATTTCCTTTTTCCTCCGAAAAAAATAACAAGGAAAGCCTCCCACCTGCACACTTTCCCCAGCAGCAGGACCCGACTGTGGGCTGCAGCCGGGACAGCGCATTGTCCCGGCCTGATGCCAAATCCCCTGGGAACATCAGCATCCGCTGCACTCAAGAGGGAGGAATTTCCCACTTTCCATGAAGGGGCTGTTTAAAAATAGGAGAGGGGGCAGCGAGAGGCTGCCAGGCGGCAGGGGAGGGCTGAGGGAGCCGTGGAGCAGCTTCTGGAGCCGCTCACCGCCCCAACTCCCTCTTTGCAGATCTCAAACTGGAGGTGAGCAGCGGCAGCAAACTGGTACCAGCAAGCCCTGAGCCCAGGCGGCTGCTGCCCCGGGACCACGGCGCCAGCCCCTCTGTCTTCCCCAGGGCAGAGGGGAGGGGTCAGCCAGCGAAACCTCAGAGAGACGCCCTGACACCCAAAAACCAGAGCCCCGGTGCCAGGGAGCTCCAGAAAATCAGCTCGGTCCTCCATGGTACAGCTCCTGGCAGGGCTGTGGGTGCCCCCGGGTGCCCCACGCCCAGCCCCTCCCAAGCTGCCCCTCCTCTCTCCCCGGAGCCCCCCAGCCCCTCGCCATCGGAGCCGGGGAGCCCCGGGGGAGAGGGTCCTGCCTGGCCGGGGGGAGCCGGGGGGGTGACGAGCCAAGGGGCGGAGCATCCCCTGCCCGGAGCCGCGACAGAGAGCCCCGAGGACGGTGTGAAGCCCCCCGGGACGGTGCCCACCCGCAGCCTGCAGTACCCGGCCCAGCTGGTCAGCGAGGCCCTGGAGGACGCACTCAAGGAGGTGGAAGATGATGCTCAGCCCGAGGAAGAGCCCACCCTCAGCGCTGTGTGGGCCCCCCAGGATGCCCGTGCCCCCAGCCCCGTTTTCCCCACAGAGGCTTGTGGAGGGGCTGTGGCAGAGGGGACAGGGGAAGGGCAAGACCCCTCCGAGGGCTCTGGGGACAGTGATGGCCCCGAAGTGGAAGAGAGGGCTGGGGAAGCCGAGCTCCAGGGGCTGCGTGTGGAGAGCAGCATCCTGGGGGACAGAGCCACGGCCCCACTGGGCACATCCCTGAGTGACACAGTGAGACAGGAAGAGATGGGAGCGTGGGAGGAGGAGGAGGAGGTGCCTGCTGTGCTGAGCCCGAGGGATCCAGAGGCAGAGGTCCAGGAAGAGGATGTGAGTGGTCCTGGACAGACAGTGACCAGCTGGGAAAAAACAGGGCGAGAGGAGGATGGGGAAGAGACCCCAAGCACGGAGCCATCACAACCCTCAGAAGATGAGGAGGAGAGGGAACCCCAGAGTCCCTGGCAGGAGGACGGAGATTTCCGTGGAGAAGGAGGGGATGAGCCAGAAGAGGAGTCCCCAGACAGGGAAGTGGAAGCTGTTCGTGCTGTCCTCGTGGAAAGCCACCTGGTTTCACCCACAAAGAGTCACCTGGAAGAGGATTTTGTTGATGAAGATCAGGAGAAGTCTGAGCATCAGAAAATGACTGTGTGTGAGGCAGAGGCTGCAGAGCAGGAAAGGGGACAGGAGCTGTGCCCAGAGCAGGAGCCCTCGACTGTCCACGAGGCCCTCCCAGCACAGGAGGCTTCATCAGGGGCTGAAGAAGATGCTGTGGGAGGGGAGGACACAGGCAGAGTGAAAGATGGTGAGGGAGATAAGGGAGAGGCCAGCAGGGAGATGCTGGGAGGAGAGGACCCTGGGGCAGGAGAAGACCCTGAGGCAGGAGAGGATCCCGGGGCAGGAGAGGACCCCGAGGCAGGAGAGGCCTCCGGGGTGGGAGAGGACTCTGAGGCAGGACAGGATCCCAGCAAAGAAGAGGATCCCAGGACAGGAGAGGATCCCAAGGCAGGAGAGGCTGCAGGAGGTGACACCCCGGGGTGGGAGAGCAGAGCCCCAGAGGAGCCCGAGGACCTGCAGGAAGCCAGAGCTTCTGTGGAAGAGGGGGGGAAACAGGAGGAGCTGGAGCTGGAAGAGGAGCCCTGGGGCAAGGGGGATGATGGCAGTGGCCAAGAGCCCTGTCCAGGGGACTGGGAGGTGACAGCAGAGGACACAGAGGGGGCTTTGGGCACAGAAGAGTCAGCCTGGGCCGATGACACCCCGTCCAGCACAGGAAGGCTGGAAAGTGAGGAGAGAGATGGCACGTCGCCAGCAGAGCTGGAGGAAGCCCAGGAAGACGATGAAGAAGATGCCAAGAGCCAGGGGATGAGCCAGCAGCAACCACTGCCAGAGGCTGAGCCAGCACCGGAGCTGGCAAGGGAGGAGCAGGAGGGCACTGCCGGGCAGCCTGACCCAGCCACCCCACCTGCCCCTGGGCCAGGGGACAGCCAGGAGCCGGCCGAGGGTCCGGAGGAGCCGTGGGAGGTGCAGGGTGAGGATGCTGAAGAGGGGCTCAGCTCAGAGCTGGGGCAGCCAGAGAGCAGCAGCTCCGGCCTCGAGGCACCGCAGGAGGTGTCGGGTGAGGGCACAGAGAGCAGTGAGTGGGTGGAGGAGGATTTTGGGAGGTCGGGAGACTCGGAGCCCACCCCAGGCACCGGCAGGAGGGTGGAGCTGGAGGACACCCTGCCGGACAGCACACCCCTGCACCTCTACGAGGGGGAGATGCTGGCTGGGGGTGCACCCAGCCAAACCCCCCCGGAGACTGAGGAGACCACGGAGACAGACCCTGTGACCGAAACAGCTCCGGAGGGGGAAGGGTGGCTGGAAGGGAGGGACAAGCCACCGACTCCCACCATGCCAGAGAGCCCTGAAGAAGAGACAGAGGCAGAGGTAGAGGCAGAGGTAGAGGTGGCCCCTGTGGCAGAGGGTGCTGAGGAGGAGGAAGGATATTTCATGGTCTCTGCTCCCAGCCAAGAGGTGTCCAGCTCGGAGGAAGCCGAGATCTCCGAGGACTTTGAAGAAATTAAAGTGGAAGCAACTGAAGGCAGCCAAGGTGACGTGGGAGGTCCCAGAGAAGCATCTCCAGTGCCAGAGGGCAAAGAGCACCTCGAGACTTTTGTCGGGGAAGCAGAAGAAGACATGGAGATGCCCACAGAAGAACCTGAGAAGCCACAGGATGAGGAGGAGGACGACACTGCTGAGCTGGAGGAAGGCCCAGCTATGCCTGAAGCAGATCCCGGCTGCCCTGGGGCCATGGGACCATTAACAGGAGGCACTGACCAGCCAGCCCAGGGTACCACAGGCACCGGAGCCCGGGAGGGACCCGACCACTCTGAGGGTTTGGCTGCCGAATCAGATGAGGAGCTCCACGGCACAGTGGGGCTGGAGAGTGACGCCAGTGGAGCCACAGCACTGCCAGGCTGCAGCCTGGGGCTGGTGGGGCAGGAGGAGGAGGAGGAGGAGGAGGTGGATGAGGATGAGCCTGGCATGGCTCACCGTGACACGGCCAAGGTCACCCCTCTGGCAGAGCTCCAGGCCCAGGCAATGCCGGAGCAGCCGGAGCAGCCGTCGGAGGAGCAGCCGTCGGATGAGCAGCCGCCCGTGGAGGAGGAAGCACCAGACAGTGACAGCCCCCCCTCAGCAGGGGATGAGCAGCCCCCCGAGGCCGACCCACCCCAGCCGGGCTCTGCACTGGAGCAGAGAGGTTTTCCAGAGGTGATTACAGACATCCCTGACACCGCTGTTCTCCCGGCAAAGGTGCCCGTGGATGTCATGAAGGACTCCGATATTTTGGAAATAGTTGAGCAGGCCCTGGAGTTCAACCAGGAGCTGGTGATGGGGGCGAGGGCGGCCGAGGGAGGGCAGCAGGGTCCTGGCAGGACCGAGCTGCCCCGGGATGCTGGGGAAGACTCCTCGCCCGCCTCGTCCAGCGAGGAGGAGCCGACGGTGCAGGAGGCGCCGGAGCCGGAGGGTCGGGTTCAGGCTGCCAACGGGCTGCACCGGGAGGCCAGTTTGGAGGACCTGGCCGAGTTCACCGAGGAGGTGCTGAACGGCATTGCCAGCATGGCCCCGGCACAGGAGTTCCCCTCGGGGACCGCAGACCCCTCCCTGGGGATGCCAGCGCAGCCCCCCAGAGACGCCAAGCTGGGGGATGGCACCTCGTGGGGCAAACACGGCAGAGCCGACCCCGTGCCCCCCGCTCTGGGGGAGGATGTCCTGTGCCTCACACCTGACCAGCCACCAGCGTGTCGGCTGAGAGCCGAGCAGGAGCCCTGGTCCTCGGGGGACGAGTGACAGCGGTGGGGGGAACCCCCCCGGTAGCCCCTTCCCTGCCGTGACCCAGCACCCCCCACTTCCCCCACCCACCCTCCTAATGCTTCCCCACCTCCTTGTGGTTTTTAACATGTTTGTGTGGATTTTTTGCACCCCTTTTCAGAGTGAAGAACCACCAAGCTCCGTTCCACCCCACAGCCTCCCCCCTCCCCCCAGAAATTCGCATGCTTGCTTCGGGACCCCCACCTCATTTTGAGCCTCCTCTGGGGGGGTTGCCACGGCTGTATTTAATTTAAACTCTGTGTTTCCCCCTTCCCTGCAATCTCCTCTCCTTCTGCCCCCCCCAGCATCTGCCCTAGGAAGGCCAGCTGGAGGCTGGGGACCCCCACATGCTGCACCCCAGGACTCAGTGCCTCAGGGTGATGTCACCCCGGGGTCCCCAGCCCTGACCCGCCGACAAGGGGGCTGAGCCAAGCTGGATGTTTCCGCTGCCTTGACGTTAATTTAATAAAGCCTCATCCTCCCACTCAGGGCTCCAGCTCTCCTCACTCTGGGGGGATGGGAGGGGAGGGGGCAGCAGCCCTGGAGTGGGGGAGAGCACGGTTTGGGGTGGGGGCTGCACTTCCTGGTTGCTTTCTGCCGGGAAATCGCACCTGGGGCCATCCATCAGCCTGGCTGGGGACAGTGTCCCCGGGATGATGCTCCCCCATGCCTGGGACAGTGTGTGCCCCATCAGTCAGCACGGGTTGGGAACAGGGTTCCCGGGATGATGCTCCCCCACCTCCGAGACAACTCACATCCCTGGGGCACCGCGGCCCCACCCTTAGGGTGACGCAGCCCCCTGGGGCTCGCCATGCCCCCCCACACGTGGAGTGATGCTCCTCCACTCCCGTGGGGATGCAGCCCCCGAGGGGGATGCAGCCCCATCCCCAGGGTGATGTTTCCCCACCCCCAAAGAGGTGCAGCCCCCCGGGGTGATGGTCCCCGATCCCCGGGGCAATGGAGTCCCCCAGCGTGATGCTCCCCCCATCCCCGGACAGATGCGGCCCCCCGAGGTGATGCTCCCCCGCCCCCGGCGCCCCGCAGATGCCACTCGGGGCTCGCTGCTGGCCAAGCACTTCCCCAACCTCCGCCTGGGCTGCCGGCAGGAATGGGGCGGGACGCCAGCCCACCCCGTGCCCGTGCCAGCGCCTGGAGCCAGGAGCCAACAGCCCCAGCCGCTGTTCCTGCCCGGCCTGGGCAGGATGCCCACGGGACAGCCCGTGGCTCCCGGGAGCTGCGGGAACCCCGGAACCACGGTGGGGACCCCGGGAGAGGAATCTTGGCCCCCTCACCCAAAGGGTGTTGGGCATCGGGGGGGCTGTGAGAGGAGCCGGGGCCTCAACCACCCCGCTGTGCATTCGGGCGTGGGGACGGCGCGGGAAGAGCCGCATAAATGAGCCTCCGGCCGAAGAATGGGCTCCTTTATGCCGGGCAAAGGGCTGAGTCACCCCAGCCGAGGGGATGAGGGGACCCGGGTGGCCACGGCATCCCCGGGGACCGCCGGCCTCGCACCCACGGGTGTGTTCAGCACCGCTCCCGCCTGGCTGGCCCCGCCGCTTGCCCACGCACCGGATTTAGCCCGTCCCGTCCCCGTGCCAGCGCCCAGGGATGCTCAGAGCCAGGGACCGATAAGGAGCCAACACTTATCTGCCTTCCTCCCTGCAAAGCCCCCGGCCCCCTCCCCTGCCCGGAGGCGACAGTTTCCTTTTAAGGTTAAACTCCAACGGATCCAAACACCGAAATAAAAAATATCCCCCTCCGATGAGTTTAATCAGGCGCCGAGTCTGCGTTCAATCAGCCCCCGGCCCGACACACCCTCCGGGCGTCTGGGCAGCATCAGCCCGGCAGCAGCTCCAGCAGCCGCCCCCTCCGAGCCTCCCAGTGCCCCCCGAGGGGTCCCCAAAGCCGGGGGTCTCTGGGCCGGGAGGAGGGTGGAGGATGCTGTGCAGGAGATGGAGATGGCGCGGGCGAGGCTTCGCCAGGCGGGGGGTGACATTCCTCCCGAAATTAATCCACATTCCAGCCGGTGCTGACAGAGTGATGAGGGGGGACAGATGGCGGGGGGAGGGGGAGCCCCTTCCTCCCCGCGAGGAGAAGGAGGAGGAAGAGGAGGAGGAGGAGGAGAAGGAGGAGGAGGAGAATGGGGTGAAGTGCCGAGGTCTGGGAGTCACCCTGGGGGTGGGGGTGGCCCCTGGAGCCTTTGGAGCCTCCCGGAGCTACAGCCTGGGGAGTAAAACCCCGGTGAGGTTCATCCACACCTGGCAAGTGCCCGAGGGAGTGAGCAGGGATGGGAAAAGTGTCCCTCTTTTCCCATCAAGTGTGACCTTGATGGGACAACGTGTGTCCCAATGGGACCTAATGTGTCCCTGATGGGACTGTGTCCCCAGTGGGATCAAGTGTGTCCCCAGTAGGATCAAGTGTGTCCCCAGTGGGACCAGGAGTGCCCCTAAGCATTGAGTGTGACCCCAGTGGGATCGAGTGTGACCCTGGTTGGACCAGGGGGACCCAGGGGGACCCGAGTGTGCCCGGGTTCCCCCACTCTGGCTGCAGCTTGGACACCCCCCCAGGCACACCCACACCTACCCTGGAAGACCAAACTGCCACATGAGCAGCACCCACTGCCCCATCCCCCGAGGGCACACTGTGATTTTGGGGGGCTGGAAAGAGAAATGGAGGTGCCAACCCCACCTTGAACCCTGCTCCACGCCCAGGCAGGAGCACCATGGGGGGAGTGCAGGGGGTCTTGGGGGCTGCAGCTATGGGGGAGCTGCCAGGGACCGGCCAGGCTGGAGCTTTAAGAGCCCCTGGAGCCCTTCATACCCTTCTGCAGCCCCCAGCAACCCCCACAGCCCACCGCAGCCCCCCACAGCCCCCTGCAGCCCCCACAGTCCCCCGCAGCCCCCCCCAGCTCCTGCAGCCCCCCGCAGCCTGGCCCCCCGCCAGCCAGGGAAGGGTTTTGTTTCCTCCCAGGCTGGGTGAGGGGGATTTCAATGGAGCCCGCACAAAAACTCCCTGTGGGGTGAGCCCGCGCCGGACAGGGAGGGGGGGGACGAGGCGGGATGACCTCAGCGATGACTTCATTCCGCTCTCAGCTCCCAAAATTCATGGGAACCTTATAAGGAAAGGACTAAAAATACAGCCAGAGGGGCGCGGGCAGCCCCCGCTCCCCCTCCCCAAAATAAGCCCTTGGGGATGCTAAATGTGGGCAAGTAGGAGCCGCGCTGGGGCTACCGGTGGCCTGTGGCTGTTCCCAAGGGGGATGAACGGTGGGGACAATCGATAGGGTCCCCAAAACCCCCACGGGAGGGGCGGGATGGCCCCCCACGCCAGAGCAGAGCAGTGATGTGGGCAGTGGGCGTCCCTCCAGGGAGGCATCGCCACCTCCCCGCAGCACCGTCCCGTCCTGTGACATCCCCAGGGACATGCCGGGGGCGGGGGGGTGGCTCGGCCGCTCTCTCGCCCGCCCTTCACCCGGGTCAGACCCCCGGGAATAGCTCCCGCCGGCTATAATCAGCTCTGCCCCGGTCTGGGGGGCTCGCCCAGCTGCCGGGTCGCGACCCCCCAGCAGCGCCCGTGCCCCAGCGCTGCGACAGCTGCTGCCAACCCGGGGCGGCGCGGATTCCTGAGGCCGAGCCCGGGGGCAATCCCGCCGGGAATGTGTGCCTGGGGCCGTCCGTCAGGATGCGGGGAGGGCGGTGGGGTCCCTGGGGCAGCGCTCCCCCCACCCGCGGGGGGACGAATCCCCCTGGGGAGATGCTCCTAAATCCCTGGGGGTTTGCCCTCACATCCTTGGGATGATGCTCCCCAGTCCCTGGGGGTTTGTCTCCCCATCCCTGGGATAACGCTCCCCAACCCCCGGGGCGATGTTCCCCAACCCCTGTGTTGATCCCCCCTCATCCCCGGGACGATGTCCCCCCAGTTCCACACTCCCAGCCCATCCCAGAGCTGACCTCCGTCCCCCCCACCATCACCTGCTCAGAATGCTTGGCAGAAGACAAGGGAGACGGGGCACGTGGGCACGGGCTGTGGGGCAGGAGGGGCCGGGAAAGGGCTCTGGCTGGGAAGCAGCCCGGCCAACACCCCCGCGCCCGTGCCAGCGCCGTGCCTCAGCCTCCCTTCTCATCCCGTGCCTCAGCCTCCCTTCTCATCCCGCCTGCCCCGGGCCGGCCACAGGCGGGAAGGGGATGAGCCAACAACGCGGAGCCGCCTCAGAGCGCTCCCTCCCCAGTTTTGGGACACCCATCTGCACCCCAGCAGGAACGGGAGGTGACCCAGCCCTGGAAGCAGCTCCGTCCCGGTGGCACAGCCGGACCCTGGTGCGCAGGTGGCACCGGGACAACCGGGCTGTGCCCCCCTGCCAGACCCGATCCCTGCGGCCAAACCTGCCACAAACCGACGGGGCTGAGCCCCCGGGATCCAGCCCCGGTGCCCATGGGAGGTTTGGGGCGCTGTGCCAGGCCAGGGGCACACGGGTGAGGGGGACAGGATGTGACCGTGGCCGGTCCTGAGTCACCGCCAGTCACCAGATCCGGCCCGGGAAGGGACAGGAAGGTCCCTTGGCTCCAGCATTCCTTGTCCCAAACAGCTTCCACAGGGTGGCAGGGGACCCCATTCCTGGTTTGGGAACTGTGTGCCCAGGTTGGGACCCCAATCCCAGTTTGGGGACTGTGTGCCCAGGTTGGGACCCCAATCCCAGTTCGGGAACCATGTGCTCAGTTTGGGGACCCCCATCCCTGTTTGGGAACCATGTGCCCAGTTTGGGGACCTCAATCCGAGTTTGGGGATCCCATTCCCA